TTGTAAATAAATATATTTTTGCATATTTGTAAATAGATATAAACTACCGACAAAATATGGATCAAAAATCTCGATTCATTTTCCTTATAACTATACGAAAAAGAAAAAAATCCAAGATAAAAATTTTGATCTTTCATTAACTTTAATTTCAAAAAATTCAAACAATTTCAACACACGGAAACCTGAATTTTGAATTAACCACATCCTGTTTTTAGCACCTATAGAACCTTTTACATTCCATTTATAGAGTAACTTTGATAAACCAAATCCAGAAAGTTTCAAAATCCAACGACTATCGATGAGGCATTGTGATGGAGTCAATGAACCATGATAACCAATTGTTGAGGCATGTAAAAACTCTAGGCCCTATAAAATAAACGAAAGATAATAGATCATTGTATACCTGTAGAAGATTTCTCATATCTCTAAAACAAATTGATTTTAGAAAAATTGAGCAAAAATTAAATCATTATACTAAAATCTTTATACAGAAATTTCAAAATTACATTTCAATGCTACGTAATACCGCAACTAAGCTATCTATCAAAAAATTCAAAAAAAGAAAAATCAAAATGAAAACAAAACAAACTCGAATAATATCACGAACAAAAGCTCGCTTAAAATTTTCTGGAAATGTTGAACCATCTTTATTATCACTCTTTAGCTTATCTGCTCGATTGATGATCGGATTTAAAAATATTAAATCAGTTAGCGTTCCACGAAAGCAATGATTCCAAACTGTATAGAATTCAGTTCGTCTATCAAAGCATATTCCAACAAACTGATTGATATTATCATGTACAAGCTGTTTCATCTTCAACAAACAAACATTTGCAAGCCGAGTAATTGCAGTAATTAACAATGAAAATTATATTTTCTTTTCCTAATTATAATATTTAATTGAAATATTATTGATAATCGTAATACAAATTACTTAATTAATTAATTTCTTTTATAAAAAATTATAAAAATTTAAATTTTTAAAAACATATATTGTCGATCAATTTACAAATTGCGTTAATTAATTTACAAAAAAAAAATATACATCGTTGATTAATTTACGAATTACTTTAATTAATTTTTCATAAATTAATTGCAACAAAAAAATAAATCGTCGATTAATTCAAAAATTGCGAAATCTATTGAACATATTATTACTCTATCAATTTTTTATATGTGTAACTTACCTGATGAAGAAGTGCCACATCAGAATTGTCAAAAAATGGTCCTGCTTTAAGCACATACGGTTCTACAATTACCGCTCCAAGTTCAGTTACTGCAAATTCTCGTGAGCGAAATAAATCTTTCAATTTCACCCTTGATTCTACTTGTTCATGTAAACTTTGTATGGATATCATCTGTAATAAAATTTATTATCGAATTCACTTTTCAACTTTAAATTATTAATTAAACATTTCATTCATTCTTTCAATCATTCAAAAAAAAGGTTTAAAATAAATTGGTAGAGTTGAGAAAGTGATATTTACCGAAGATGTTTCGATATTAACAAATTTGAGGAACTGATAAGGAATTGACCATGGCATTTGTGATGTTTCACCACTTTTTCTATCAATATATTCAAATATATTTTACACTAAATCGTTATTTAATATATTCTTAAACAATTATAACTGATATTATACACCAATTTATATACTAAATCGTAATTTAATTATAACTGATTTCGATTTAAAAAAAATAAGAAATTAAAAATTTTAATCGTAATTTTTGAAATACATTCCTAAGTAATTATAACTAATA